GAAATCGCCTGCCACCGGAAGTCGACAGTCATAATGATTCTTAATGTCACGTTGACTGCTGTTCACTTAACATGGTTGAAATATTAAATATTTTAGTACACCATTTGCTTTAGAATATTTTTTTTTCTTGTTTTCCTCGTCTAAAAACTATGTGCGTCTTATGGTCAGGTGCGTCTTATGGTGCGAAAAATACGGTACTTCTGGTTTCTGGCAAAAAAGAGGTTGATAAAATAAAGGTTGCAAAAAGGTTGTAAAATTGGATGTGTTCATGTAATCCCAGACTCAAATACAGTCATAAATTGAGGACTACCTGCATTGAGGCACAAGAGAATTACTAGCTCAAAGCCACCCATGAGATTGTACAACTGAGGGTAGACTAGATCTGAGAGTCCCTGTTCCAGGTCAACATTTAACTACTATACCACACCGGCATTTGCTGCAACTGTCATCCCAGCTTCCAAAGCTATGAAGTGTAACATAAGGAGGTTAGAAAAATCAACATTCTGCTGGCTGGAGATAGCATTTAATATTGTGGGTGCCTGATAGTCATGGTGAGGGGGTGATGATCCAATGGATCATAAATGGAACCAGAATTTTCTCTCTCCTCCCTTCCCCTAAGCTTTCAAGGGAACTCAGGGCATGTTTATGCATTATATTGGCTATTTCAGAACCTACACTGCAGATTTCTGTTTTGTTTGTTTTACAAGAAATCATACCACAAGTGTTCGGAAAGCAATGGTCAAAGGTGGAGGATCTGAGGGTCATCAAACAAAACAAAGCCATCTAATCTAACTTTTTCTCTCAGCACTAGATAGCTGTAAATGAGAATGTTGATAATGTTTCTATGAAAGAATACTTTGGATTATGGAGCCTGCATTTAACTAGAATAATATTTTTAAACTGTGCAGCTACAGAGCAATGTATAGCCTGCAGGCAGTATACTGTAAATACAAAAGAACTAATTCAGTGGTTCCTAAGTTAATAGCATATTCACCACATTAACTTAAGAGGTAGTCCTCAACTTAGTTTGTTTAGCGACCATTTAAAGTTACAACGGCACTGAAAAAGTGACTTACGACCATTTTTCACACTTATGAATATTGCAGCATGCGCACTGTCATGTGATCAAAATTCAGATGCTTGGCAACTGGTTTAGATTTATGATGGTTGCAGTGTCCTGGGGTCATGTGATCACCATTTACGACCTTCTGATAAGCAAAGTCAATAGAGAAGCCAGAGTCACTTAACAACCATGTTACTAACTTAAAAACCGTGGCATTAAAGATCTTAAAATGGGACAAAACTCATTTGGCAAGTGTCTCGCTTAGCAACAGAAATGTTCAGCTCAATTGTGGTTGTAAGCCAAGGACTACCTTGTTGGAGGCCAAGTTGATTTTGACAGGGCAAGAGTTAATCTCCAAAATGCTTCTCTTGCCTGTTATGCTCTGCTTTCTTGACTTCCGGGCAAACCATCACGGTGAATGAAGTGATGAAAAAAATGAATGGGTGCTGAAGTTTGTTTAAGCCCAACTGATTGAATGGTACAAGTCAAGTTTGAAAACAGAAGGTACACATAGGAGATGAAAGTTCCTTTAAAAATGGATTAGGACTGATTGAAAATGTTTTCTCCTGACATCAGGAGATAAAGAATTAGGGCAGTGATAGGCTGGCTCAACAGAGACTTATTGAACTTGTGTGTGGCAGGGCAACCACATCCAAAGACGTGTTTTGGTATGCTGCGCTCCAGCTTTTTGACACCATTTTCGCATGCTGTCACCGAGGAACTGCTTTCAGCTCTCTGACCCAATCCTGTGCAGCTGAAACCCAGCCTGGCCCCGTAACCAAACCAGGCATGTCTCATCATCAGCAGGAACAAATAAACAAAAACAAAAAAGGTGAAGGTGAGCGAGGACAAAGATAAAGAGGTAGGCAGGTGAGGGCAGTTGAAGTCAGCCCTTTATCTTACTGAGGGTTAGGGCTGGGAGGTACCCAGCCCAGAATGGGTTGGCTTGGATGCTCGCTTAAAAATCCACGATTTTTTTTATTAATAACTGTAACAGGGATAGCCAGGATTATGGTCTTAAAGCAATCATGTGACGTCTTGTTTTTAATGATGACATTACTTAGTGACTGAAATTCCAGTATCTAGAACAGGCATGTCAAACCTCCGATGTCACGTGACATTGCACAATGTATCGGGCTGGTTTTGCCATTGCCGGCAATGGGGTGGGCGCGGCTTCCATGTGACGCATCTGGCCCACGGGCCGGCAGTTTGACACCGATATAGAAGCTGGAGTGCAGCATGCCAAAACAGAGGTTCCTGTTGTGGTTCCGTCCTGTGAGCCCATCTTATCGGAGGAAGAAGGCTCCGAATATGAAGGAGAGGAGATGACCAGACCTCTCTCTCCAGGACCCTCCTCTCTGGCAATGCCTCAGGTGTCTCCCGACGGAGAAGAGATTGGCCAGGAGCCAGGTGTTTCCGAGCCGTCGGATAGTGACGAAGATACGTTGTGGCTGGACCCACGCCAGCGTAGGCGAGACAAGCGTGCGCAGCAGAAAAGGAGGCATGCCAGAGATTAAGCTGAGTCACTGGACCCCACCCCACAGGCTATAAAAGAGAGTGTGGTGGCCATTCGAACTCTGTGACGGACAAAGCTAAATCTCTGGCGAATCACTTTGCACCTTTGGACACAACGCGATAAACGACACCTAAATTAATGTTTGACCTGATAAGTTTGACACACATAAAAACAGACACAATAGCCTCATTTTTCAAGAACCGTCCGTCGATACCTCAACGACGGTTCAAGGAATAGTCACCGCACCTCACAAACTCAAGTTTATTTAACCCTCGGCTGGCTGTTTGGGTGCGTGTGTGAGACGGGGACAGAACAGTTCCCAACCTTTTGGGCACCAGGGACCGGTTACATGGAGAAAGGCTTTTCCACAGACCAAAGGGGGCATTGTTTTGGGTGCTGCCTGCATTCTATGGATGGGGTTTTCCTTGTTTGTGCGGACCGGTTGCTGGCCCACGGACCAGGGGTTGGGGACCCCTGTGCCAAAACACCTCTTTCGATGTGGCTGCCCTGCCATACACAAATTCAGTAAGTCTCTGTTGAGCCAGCCTGTCACTTCCCTAAATGATAATTCAAGTGATTGAAAAGTAAAGGGCTATCTTTTGATTTGCTTGCGAAATCCAGTCAGAATTGAAATGTTATGGAAATTGCTCAGCAACCAAGGAGTAACAATGCTTTTAATTACAATCAGAAGAGCAGTGTAAACAATAATTACTATCTTGCCCAATAGCTGTTCAGTTATTTCTATCTTGGTCTTTCCCCCCCACATACACACTAAAATGACACTAGCAAAGCCCACTGGGGAAAGGAGGGACCTCCAATGAATCCTGAACCCCAGGAACTGCAAATCTATACCTGTTTACTGAATGCAATTACTTCCAGATGAAGGGACTTTGGGGATCAAGGAGTATTTAAAACATTAAAGGCCTGGAGACTAAAACATATGAAGAATGGTTGCAGGATTTGGGTTTGGCTAGTCTAGAGAAAAGAAGGACTAGGGGTGATATGATAGCAGCATTCCAGTATTTGAGAGGTTGCCACAAAGAGGAGGGAGTAACTTATTTACCAAAGCACCTGAGGGCAGGACATGAAACAATGGATGGAAACTAATCAAAGAGAGAAGCAACCTGGAACTAAGGAGAAACTTCCTAACAGTGAGGACAATTAATCAGTGGAACAGCTTGCTCTCAGAAGGTGTAGGTGCTTCATCACTGGAGGTTTTTAAGAAGTGACTGGATAGTCACTTGTCTGAAATGATATAGGGTTGGACTAGAAGACCTCCAAGGTCCCTTCCAGTTCTAGTCTGGTTGATTGATAACCTTTTTCTACCTGCTCCATTATCCATACTCCTTCTTCCAGGCTGGCTGAATGATCTGCATACCAGAAAAGCCAAAAGCCCCCCATCTCCAGCCTGTACTCCAGCTTCTGGAAAAATCATCTTTTCAAGTCTATGGTATTTTTAAGAACTACAGTATTGTAGTTCCACCTCCCCCCCCCGCGGCGGGGCTGAATTATAACTTCAAGGAAAATAAAAGTTTGATACGTGCAGAAAAAGTATCAGTACTGGAAACAATGATGGACCATAAACATTCAATTTTAAAGGGGCGGGGAGCGCTTTATGAAGCAATTCGCAATGTAAAAGAGGGAGGAAAAGTATTTTATGAAATAACGTGCAAGTTAAGGGGGAGGAAAGCTGGGGTTTTCTTTTTTTTCTGACCTGGAAGAGGGAAGCTCGAGGGAGCGGACTTACCGTTTTTCTCGCCGTCGCTCAGCTGCCCGTAAAGCGCCTCGCGGAGTCCTGCGCGGAAGGCCCCGCTGCTATCCACGCAACGGTGCTTGGAGCTGCTGGTAAAAGCCAGGCGCCGACCGGGGGCCAGGAGGCTGGGGAAGCGGGCGACGAGGCGCTTGGCCAGCATCCTCATGTCGCGCTCCCCTTTGGGGGCCAGCTTCCCGTCCATGTCCGGCTGGTACCACATCTCCCATCGCGCCAGGCGCTCCGCTACTGAGCAGCGCTTGCCGTCGCCCCGTAGGAGGCCGTGCAGGCGCGCCAGCTTCTCGATCTGCTTGCGGGTGGGGAAGCGCGTGCCGTGGCGCACGACGGCGCTCAACTGAAGCGGGGTGCAGGAGGCCGGCGGCAGCGGAAAGCCCGAGAGCGCCGGCCCGAGCGAGAATGGGTCCCGGAGAAGGTACGGGTGCAGCTCTTCATAGCGGGACTTGGTGCCGAAGAAGGGGCTCAGCAGCGTGGCTCGCTCGGCTTCTCCCTGCGACTCCCCGTTGGCCGGAAGGAGCAGCAGCTCCAGCAGCAGCAGTATTGAGACGAAGCGCCGGCAGGTCGCTGGGTTCCCCATGGGTGCGGCGGAGAACGGCAAACCTGCTCCGTTGAAGAAGACGCGAATCCTTCGCCGCAGCCGTTCGCCTCCCTTTTGTTTTCCTCCCTGGGTTGGACGCCGGGAAGACCGGCGGCCACGCCTCGGCGCGGCTGCGAGCCGGTGGCTCGTTCCCTGCCCTTCTCCAAAATGGCCGCCTTTCTGCATGGTCTTTAAGTCTCTGGAAGTCCTCCTTGCCCGCAGTCAGCATGGCGCTCGCCCTTCCTCCTGCTCCTCTTCCTCTGGCTAGTTTTCTCAATCACTCTAAGGCAGGGGGGTCTCCAATCTTGTCAACTTTAAGACTTGTGGCTGGCTGAGGAATTCTGGGAGTTAAAGTCCACAAGTCTTAAAGTTGCCAAGGTTGGGGACCCCTGCAGGACGAAATTGGAGCCTTGGCGCGATCCAGCCTCACAATCCAACATAGAATAGAATTACATAGAATAACAGTTGGAAGGGACCTTGGAGGTCATCTAGTCCAACTCCCTGCTCTTGCAGGAGAGACTATACCAGGAGTTCCCAGCCAGGGGTGCGAAACGATATTCATCCTTTTGAAGAAAGTGGTGGGTTCTCGTTGGCTCCGTCCTTTCATACCCGCGTTGTGATATCACAAAGAAGTCGAGTTTGGTTTTTTTCTTTTCTTTTTTATTAGGCTATTATAAATCTTAACTACATCATATTGTTTCAGTACAGGGATGTTTCCAGTGGTGGAATTCTGCCAGTTCGCACCGGTAACTGATTTTTTGTTGCCCAGGCCCAGAATGGACTTCCGGAAGCTGCATCCACACAGAGAACCGGTTGTTTGTTCACATATTTGAATCCCACCACTGGATGTTTCTGTAATATGATTAAAGATTATTGGCATTCTATTATTGAGATAGCTTAGACTACAGAACTGAAAATAAGAAGAGGAAAAAGCAATATTAAAAGCAATTTAGGATGTCAATGTTACAAGAATAAAAGTTTTTTTATTTGAAGTTGAGTATAACACTGAGAAGTGAACCACTACTTCGAAGTATTTTATTTATTAATCAAATTTGTATGGCTGCCCATGTCACGAAAGTGATTCTGTAGGCTCCATTATCTACAATATATTCTTATGAAACTCTCAAGTTGACCTCAAATGCCCTTATAAATATTCAGTGAGTTATTTTTGAAAAAATACTTCTTAATTGGTTACTAATTAAAAACAACATAATGTAAAATGATTTCTCAGTGTACAGTGCAGAAGCTTTCATGCCTTATAAATATACATTTCAAGATGTTATTTACGGCGATATATATTTCTAAACCATTAACTTAAAACTTCAGACTTTTAAATAATTTTTATATCTTATACCTGAGTTAACAAGTAGGCATTATTTTTTTGACTGATGAAAACTCCTGGAACCAATTGACGAATATCAAGATATCATTGTAGTTGCAAGAAAGGTAACTGTGGATATACTTTGATTCCTGATTGATAAATGTACACATTTCTGTAAATTAATGTTTAACCCTTAGTGTTTCTAATTTTAGGCATACCCAGCACAAATGAAAATATGCATGTTTTTCACTGCAGTTATTCCAGCAGAGTCTAATTTATTTCTAGTTATAGATCCAGTTTTTCTAGAATCATATACCATCTACCAGTTATTTGCAAGCCCAAATCTTTTTACAAGCCCCTTCCTTAATAACTTTTATTTAATTTCCCAGAGATTTTGTCTTATGGCAAGATCATACAGCTAAGTCAGAGGATAAAAATAGCATATTTGTCAACATATTAATATATTGGATTAATTGAAATGGAGGGACAAAACCAAGCAGCTATATAAGAAATATGTGTCTGCTTCCTTGAATCAGCTTGAGCCACAGCTCTTCTCTGCTGTGTTCTCTCCTACCCTGAGAAACTATACAAGTGAAACTTCAACTTTCTCTTTAGAAATTTGGAAGTAAGGTAAGTAAGGTAAACTCTCAATAAGCCCCACCTGAATCTTCTGTTTAAAAAGCTGGCTGGTGAGTGAGTTTGGAGTAGTGGTGAAGATATTGGCTTCGAACTCAGGAGAATTCTAGTCCTGCTTTAAGCATGAAAGCTAACTGGATGACTTTGAACCAGTCATTCTTTCTCAGCCTAACTTACCTCACAGGATTGTTGTTGTGGAAAAATAGGAGGAGGAAAGAGTATTAGGTATGTTTCCCACCTTGAGTTACTTATAAAAATAATAAAAGAGGGATAAAAATCAAATAAATAAATTTGTAGGTCCTCTGGACTCGCAGCAAATATTGAAAGACCAGGCAGCAGCTGTGGCTAGAAGGGCCTTTGCCCAGGTTTATCTTGTATACCAGCTGCACCCTTTTCCTTGGTCAGGAGGCCATTTATAGAGTCATTTATGCCAGGGGTCTTCGACCTTGGTCACTTTATGACTTGTGGACTTCAATTCCAAGAATTCCTCAGCCAGCAGAAAGTGGCCAAGGTTGGGGACCTCTGATTTATGCGATATTCATCTCATAATTAGATTATTGAATATGCTCTACAGGGATCTGTCCTTGAAGATCACCCAGAAGGTATGGCAGCTTCAGAACGTAGCGACACAAGCAATAACAGGTGCCTCTCGATGTACCCCCATGTTTCAGGACTGTGGCTCTCTTTGCTGGGGTTTCTGAAGGCCTTGAAGGTCTGGCTTTGGTCCCAGGCTTGGAGTTGATATTTACTATTTGTTTAATACCCCTTGTTTTGTTTTGTCCACTGAAATTTGGCAGCCAATAAATATAAATAAATAAAGTCTGTCTTACAGAATTGTTTGGGACTAAAGAGTGTTGCTCAGTAAAGCTGTGCAACAGTTTGCATCTAATGCTAAAAGAAATGGCATGTGCTGTGGTGTGAACATAGCATCCATCTGTAATTCTTTAAAGCAGCTGTATATTTTGCCAGGATCACAGGACTGCTTTAGAAAGTTACATAGATATATTACCTTTGCACCACTGAATCCTCCAAAGTATTTTGAGGGAATCTGGTCATAGCAGAGCTGTATTGCTCAGAATGTGTCACACAATGACCAGGTCTACCTATTTCTATATGTCTATGTTCTATCTGTCTTTTTTTGTAGCTCCCAATTTAGTGGGGGATACCTGGAGGAAGGTCTCTTATAGTATTTGAGCAGCTGCAGATAAGAAGCAGCTATCTGGGTCTCTAAAGATCAACACAGACACCCCTGAATTAGGCATCTGTGCATCTGAAAAAAATATTGGTGTCTCTAATTGTATTGGTCAATCCCAATATATAAGTTTGATCTGAATTTTTCCAACATCACAGAAGAAAACTCCATTAGATGTAGTGCAACTAATATCTTAGTAAATTTGTTTAGAATGAAAGTCTTCAGCATAAGTTATATCTCATATCTATTCTGTTTGTGTTTTGGCTGTGGGCTTTACAGAAGAAATCAGTTTCATGTCCAAAAGGCCTTAGATTGCAGGAAAGCTAGAACACACGATGGCTAAAATTAGTTCTTAAAACTGCATTTCCTAGCATTTTTTTTAAGTAGTAGGTGCCTGTTGTCACAATAATCTCAGTTGGGCCTCTTTTTTAAAAATGTAATAGTATACTAAAGGTGAATTTAGCAGCTGACTAAACATTACATTTTATTCCTGTGACCATTCTAATATAACAATTATTGTATTACACATTATAACTGTTTAAGAATATAGTACATGATCCCTTCCTTGTACCAACTCAACTCTTTTCTAATATGTTCTATCCTTGGGGAAAAAAACCACACAAATGCAATTCACACCTTTCCGACTTAGATGTGTAGAAAACATAACGGAGGCTTCAAAATCCTCAAAATTTAATTCATGTTTACCAAAACCATGCAAATGAAAGAAGCACTTCTCTGAATCTGCTCTTTAAAATTGCAAAGTGGCTGCAGCCGTTCCAACATTGGGTGTGTGCATATCCATGTAATTATAGGAATTGATATAAACCAAGTAATTACAAAAAGAATTATAGTATTCAGCCTAACAAATGTTTGTTTATTCCTCAACAAATGTTTATTTTTCACATTTCTGAACCTTCCATCTCCCTCAAGTTGTAGAAGAAGAGAAACTGGATGTGTAGATCCCTAGACAAGATTTTTAATGGAGCACATGCTTTGCATGCAGGAGGACTAAGATCCATTTTCATATCCAAAGGGAGGTGGAAATGTTCTCCTTGAAACCCTAAAAAGTTTTCAGTGCTAGCTAAGGCAGACCAATATAGAGTGACAATAAAAGACAGTTCCTCATATGGCTATTATGTAGAATCTCTACTACATAGAACATTGTACATGTTACTGAGAAGTTCATATACACCTTATATCCTGAACATACTGACTTATTAGACACAGAGAATATTTTTCTGTTTGATCTATCCATTCTGTGCAAGAAACCAATACACATGCAATAATTCAGATCAACTAACAAGAGTTCTTCCTAAGGGAAATTGGATAGAGTGTGTCTATCAGCTGAAAAAAAAAAAGAATTTGTGATGATAGGTCAGAACCTGATATTGGCTAGCAACTTCACTTGTTTCATCTTTGGTACATGAGAATTTTGGGATTGTGATCATGCTTACTGTGTAAGTCCCTTTGTGATAACCATTTCATGAGAGAACGCTTAAAATGATCTCAAAATATGTTTAGCCACACTAAAGATATAGTATACCCGGTTCTATGCAAAGAGTCTAGCCTAACCAATCAAGGATAACTGCCTAGCTATAATTTCCTCCTGCACATAAATTGTGCTCTCCTCATTACATATGGATGCACGCACAGATAATTAATTTTCTGTTATCAGGCTGATGATTCTCATTCAACTTATTATTAAAGAATATAAAAACAATAAGCAAAATATATAACCAATTAACAATGTTAAAATAATATTTTCAGCCATCTGTCTTTCAGATTTGAGGTCCATAGGTGACCTGAATAACATTTCAACTAAATGTTATTTAGCCCGAAACCATGTGCTTT